AAAGGGAGCTGACCGTTGTAGAGGGAGGAGAGAGGAGATAAACCGAAAAACCGACAAAACCCGACATAAACCGAATCGAGAAAAAACCGACTTAATTGGTTTGGTTTGGTTCTAATATTTGAAAAACCGACTTACTTGGTTTGGTTTTTTTTTAGGGAAAAATCGATCCAAACCGAAGCATGAACACCCCTAATAATATGTTATCCCTAGCCTAACTCATTATGTTTCCTTTTAAGTGAAAGCGATGTCTATGTTTCTAGGGGTTAATTTCACTGATGGTCACTCAACTATATTTCAATTTCACTAAAGTCACTCAACTATTTTTGTCACTTAAAAGTAACTAAACTTTCACATTGTCACTTAAAAGTCATTTTGGCTCAAACCCCTACCATGAATATTACATGGCTTAAAATTTAATGAGAAAAATCCAAAAATAAATTCCACATAAGATTAAATGGATCATACCTACTTTAGATATATTTCTTCCTTAATGTGATTTGACCCATAACCCAAATGTTTTCAATAAAAAAAATATTAAATATCACATTAGTTTAAAATGATATGATTATCCTATATTACAAAATTCTTGCCTTTTCTGCTACATAATACCCATTTATAATTATTCTATACTAAAAAAATGCTTATCTTGTTTGTATGCCCCATCCGAGTCGTTTTATAACTCTACTGAAGTTAAAATAGTACTGTATCCAACTCACATAACATATTTATAATTTTCTAATGAAATTAAAATAGTATTGTATTCATCTTACATAAAATATTAAAGTATCATAAGCATACAGGAATAATAATAAGGCTAATAAGAGTCTATTTTCACAATGAACATGCAATTACAGACAACCTATTGCAATTATTTATAGACAAAAAAAATATTGTATTTGTACGATAAAAACCACACAAAAAATTACAGGACCTAATTTTATTAGGGGTGTGTGTTTTTTCCCCCTATTGAAACCCAATTGGGTTATATGTCAAATCACATTAAAGGAGAAATGGATCTAAAGTGTCCATTTAAGCTTATGTGGCATTTTTTTTAGATTTTTCTTATTAAACTTTATGCCATGTCATATTTATGGTAGGGATTTGAGCCAAAATGATTTTTAAGTGACAATGTGAAAGTTTAGTTACTTTTAAGTGACAAAAAATAGTTGAGTGACTTTAGTGAAATTGAAACATAGTTGAGTGACTATCAGTGAAATATGTCTATGTTTCTATGAAGTGTTTTTGAAATTTTTGCTATAAAACTGATGAATGGCAGGCTTTGGTTTTTGTCAGCTCAACTTTTGTGTTAACTGCAAGTATGTTTAGGGGACAGTTATATCTTATTCAGACCACAAGTAGCTGAAGGAGAAGCTTAAGTAATTGAACACATGCACTAGAAGTCGTATTTAGAATTACTGTGGTTCTAGAAAAGAGTTCTGCAGAAATTTTATGCTTTTTCAGAAATCTTAAGCTTCTAGTTTGAAACAGCAGAACTCTTTTGTTTCAGCAGTAACAGCAGCTAAAGCAAAAGATTCTACTTCAGCAAGAGGTGTTTTGTCTTATTTCTAGAACAAGTGGAGTTATTATGTTGAATTCTTGCAAAGAAGAAGAATCAGGACAGGTAAAGATGATTTATTTTCTATAACTATTTTTTTCTTTAATGTTATTTCTTCTTCATCTTTCCTCATCATCTTGAATATGAACATTGCAAAACATTTTAAATAAACTGGACAGGAAAATAAAAGCTTTAATATAAAACATTACATGGAACCATCCGTGAATCCATATGGTACTACTGTTTCACAGAATGATAGAGAGGGAAGACAATCTATGCTTGATTCAGATTTCTTGCTGCATTAGAATGTGGTAAAATAAGACAATAAGTCAGAGTCCCCCTCTTGAAATGGAACAAGCAATCAGAAAAGCACATACTTTTTTGTGACAAACCAATACAAGCTGACTGTTAGTCACATCCTGGTTAAGTTAGCGTAGATAACGACTGTTATATTAGTTATTAGTGAGCTGGTTAACTGGCTTTAGTTATCGTTAGCTTAATGAGCTGGTTAGCTGGTGGATGAAATTCCACTTGACATTCGTAAGATGAAGGTGTATAATGGTGGTGCAAGTTTTATATTCAAATGTAAGGAATTGCTGGACTGTTATTTTAATGCGACTTTGAAAAGAGTAAATGCATTTCTGACTTCAGATACAGTTGTACGGCATCCTTGGAAGATGTCAATGCTGTTTTATCATATGTTCTTATACAACTCATTTGTATTTACACTCTTAGTTCATTTATTCATCCTTTGTGGTCCTGTTGGGTGCATGCAGTCTTATATAATGAACAGTCAAGAAAGCCTTCTTTTATATTAGTTCCTTCAAACCAGAGTCTTGAGAGCTTCATCTTTGGTGAGTAGCAGACTTTGTTCTACAATTAAATTGTGTTTTTGCACAACTACTGAAGTGACTTTGCTACATTATTAATTCTGTTTTTAATAGGGATTGCAGAAGGTTTTGTCTACCTCCATGAAAACACTAAGACGAGGATTATTCGTAGAGATATAAAAGCGAGCAATATCTTGCTGGATTCTAGTCTCTGAGTTAAAATTGCTGACTTTGGGTTGGATAGATCCTTCCAAGAAGACAAGAGTCACATGAGCACTGCCATCGTGAGGACTTTGTTAGTGATTCTCTTCTTTCACATTTATATTATAGCTACAAACCTTATGCTCACTAAATAACAGCCAGTTAGGTTAATTAGTTATCTCAGTCGATGGTTATTGATTCTTAGCCAGTGGTTATTTTTCCTACAAAACTTTCATTTTTTCTATTGTAAGTTGTGAACCAATTCTTGTATTTACTTCCAAATATATATATATATGGACCTTTAGAAAGTTTTTTCTCATTGGTTTTAGCTGTTGCCTAAATTTTGAACCCCCTTGACCACTAGACTACACTTTTGGATTGTGTTAAGGGTGTTCAAAACTTAATATATAGAGGTAAAAAACAGATTTTGCCTTATATATACAGTGTAATTTTTCGGCGACCCTCCCTAAATCCGTCCCTGGATGGCAGCATTTTCAACATGGGAGAGTAGAGGAATTGTTTGATCCAAATTCTATGTTGCACGACTACCACACTATCAATGTAAAAAAGTGAGATTCTAAGAGTGGTACATGCCAGACTTCTGTGGACACAAGAGGTTCCGGGATTAAGACCATCCACGTCCAAGGCATTGCAGATGCTAGTAAAGAAAGAAGGAAGAGTAACCTGTACCAACTAATCCTCCCTTTATAGATGAGAAAACGGTGGAGAAGGTGATTCAACTTCAATTTACCCCGATTTCTCACAGTTCTTTCTAGATGATGCTTCAGTGGCCTCAAACTGCTTCAGTGCTGAGAAGTAAAAAGGAATTTTTACCTCCTATAGCAAATGTTAGCACCCTATTTATTTTAAATAAATACCATTTAAAAAAATTATATTCTATAGATACCTTTTAATGTTTATAGCAAAATATCTAATTTTGGCTACCTCCTAACCCTAACAGCTTGTTTGGATGGTTGTTACCCGTTGTATCGTATTGTATTGTTACTTTAAATACAATCTTTTGATTGTTACTTAAATTTTATTGTATCGTATCGTTAAATCCGTTGTTACATAACGGCGAAATGTGCCACTTTATGTAACGACCGATTTGGTGTGGTCGCATCGTTACCTTGTCTTTTTCTCTCAATCTCACCCTTTATTATTATTAAATTATTTTATTTTATCATTTACCCTACTTTTTTATATAGTAATTTTACCTTGTATCATAATTTTTCTTTATAATATTGCAAGTTTATTCTTCATATTGCTGGTGCGTGATATCATGAAACGATGGCAAACGGCACAATCTATCCAAACATTGCATTTATCAAACAATAAAGTACAATACAATACAGTACGATACGATACATTATGAAACGATGCGTAACAACCATCCAAACAAGCTGTAAGCCACTAAATACGATATTCAGTTACACTATTTTCTTTCTCTCTCTATTTTGATACATGCCATTCTCTTCCCCATTCCCTGAAAACACGATGCTCAATCTCAAAATTCCTCTCACCCACATCACCTACTTTCTCTCCGATCCCAATTTCTCCAATTCCACCGAAGCACGCATATATGTTACCACATCAAATATGTTGACATATGGTTTCGACAATTTGGACAGAGTCCATTCAGATTTTCTATGCTGCCGTAGAGGTTAGGCAAACATCCGTTCATCCAATCTCCGTCGGAAATTAGGTTGCCAGATTTTCTATGCTGCCGGAAATTAGGCTTTGTTCTCTTCCATCCAATCTCAAAGTTTGGTGGATCCTGCTTCACAAGCCCAGTTCTTGATTTTCTATCGCGAATTATCTCTGGCTTTCTTCGTTTCTCTATTGGGAAATTTTTCTCGGCTGATTGTTGTTTTTGAAGTTGGTGTGGGACTGAGGACATTGGGGTATGAAGAGTCGGGTGTGGAATTGTATTTCCATGTATTTCATTGTCTTTTTGTTTTTATCGTATTTCAATGTATCTTGTTGTATTCCATATATTTCATTGTATTCACTGTCTCGTTGTATTCCATGAATGTATTCATATATATTTTTTAATTAATATAATTTATGTATTCAGATGTATTATATAATTTCTCTGAAGATGGCTATATTTTTAGGGTATTTTTCGGTTGAGAATCTTTTTTATAACTGAAAATACAAAATTTGTATGTTATAATTGAGTTTGTTGAATTATATTAGGAGTCTATTATGTTAATTGACTCATTTTTCATTTAAAAACAGTGTAATCCCTTGTTTCATGCCGTGAATACAGTCGAATACAATAATCTGTAATCTCATGTTTCACGCCATGAATACAGTCAAATACACTCGAATACAACAACGGATTAGCTGGACTTCCCTGATTCACGCCTATTTTTGCTATTGTATTCATGAATACAGTAGCTTAAATACATCTAATACATCTAGAATCCGTAATATAACAAATGGTATCTACAGATAGCTAATTACCACTAAAAGATAGTGCTTTATGAAAATTTCACTTACCATAAATCTGTGATAGAGTGAATCCGTGCATCTCAAGTATCTTCTTGCCTCTTGTTCCTCTTTGCACACTCTGGACGCAGATGTTTCGTTTGCAACAAGTTGCTTTTATCATTGTAATAGTGAAGTGTTTAACAAATCCTTGGGCAGTTTATTATTGTTACATAAGTAGATAAGACATTACCAGGAGAGAAATCAGAGAGAGTAGACTGCACAATTAGAAAATATACAGAGTGCTATTTTTGCAGAATGGAGGTGTTGATTTTTGCTCATTCTGAATCATCTCTGTATAATCTTCTTCTGTAATTGTTGATTCTGGTTGATCCATTAGTCATTTCACTGAGCTTTTTCCTTTTTTGATTCATGAAGATTCTTGGAAGTATCTGCTTTTGGCTTGAAAATTACACCAAATCTTTACTAGAACGCTGAAGTTCACTAAAATCCGTTACTGCTTGTCATTCAGTTTTGGATGTTCTATCAAAGAATAAGAAGAAACAAGTGTGATAAATCAGTGATCACCTAAGCTATTGACCATTTGTTGTTCTGATTCTAATTATGTCGTCTAGGTTTAAAAATGAAGCTGCTCTTGTTGTTGCGAGATGCCGCCTAGGCTTGGGCCATCATAATCCAACTCCACATATGTCTTTATCTAACAAATATATTTTAGTTTCCCAAACACAAAGAATTCCATGCCAGAAGGAGATGACAGCTCATTGAGTCTGGAGATTACAAGATTGACAAGTGTTTTGGACTTGAGGTTTAGGAGTAACTTTCAGGACTGGGAGGTGGCAGAGTTCCGAAGCCTAATTGATGTTTTCCATAAACAAAGCACAACACAGGATAGCCACAATTAGGGGTGACAAACGGGCGGGGTCGGGTCGGATATGAGCGGGTCGAAAACGGGTAATTTAAAAACGGATAAATTATCCGATTCGATCTGTATTTGAGACGGATAAAAAACGGGTTATCCGGCGGATAATATGGATATCCATATTATCCATGGCTTATTAAAAGGGGTTGACACAGTTACCCACAAAAACAAAACTATTTACCCTTGTCTACCCATTTGTTTTTCTACCCATAAACTAATTACATTTCCTACCCATAGTAGTTTTTGTGGGGAATTTTTTCTTTATTCTCCAATTCTTTTTTATTTCTATGCTTCTTTTCTTTTTTCCTTTTTTTCTTTCTTTTCTCCTTTTCTTTTTTCTCATTTTCTTCCTATTTTTATTTTCTCTTTTATTAATTTATTTTTGCCCAAATCGTATTATTGTTATTTTTACCTTAACTTATTTCACACTCAAATTTGTCTCCTTTATTTTTATTTATTTCTTTATTTTTTGTTCCTTTTTTAATTCCATGTGATTGCCATGCAAACCTTGATCTCCTTCCCTATAAATATCAGTATATACTCTACCATTAACAGTAACACCAACTAGTGATGGAGCAAGAAAACATAATGGACGGCCACTAAATCTCCATATATACTAGTTAGAATAGAAATGATAATAAAATATTGGAAAATGCAATAAAAATATAAATAGCAAAAAAGACTTCTAGTACCATATGATACCAATATGGTATACATGTATACAAGCAAAGTATATGATTGCTCTAGAATATTGCTACAACTATCTGTGACTATACTACTGTACCAAAACATTAAAGGATATAATAAAAGTATGAGAAAATTACATGCTCGTATTGCAAGCTAAATATTTGCAAAGCAACTTGCTCATTCCCTATACTAACAGGGTATATAGTTGTATGAATCGTTCCAACAATTGCCTATAATTATAAAAGCTATTACATAATACACATAATCTATATCCATCAACACACAAAAAAAAATCCAACACTGCAAATAACGATCATATAAATAATTTCAGAATAGAATTCATTTAAAAATGCAGCCAAAACAACAAAAAAAATGTTCAAACTACCATATGATACTAATATGGCATATAACTATACCAACATGGTATACAATTTTACTGGTTAATTCCCGGCAACTATATAACTATACTACTATTACATAACACACATGCATAAAGAGAAAAGTAAAAAAAATAGTGTACCACATATTAATATATAAAGTATTTCAAGATATTGTACTATATTACTATTATTAAAAGAAAATCAAATATTGTACTAAATAAATGCAGTTAATACAACCAAAAAATGATTCAACTAGCATATGATACCAATATAGTATATAGCTATACTAATAGGGTATATAGTTGGAATGAATTGTATACCAAACTAGTATATTTGTATACTATTTGAGTATACAATACAAATTCGTCTTCTTCTCTTGTTCAACTATATTTCAACCCAAACTTCTAAAATCTATTACAAAATCTCCACCAAAATAACTAAAACTTTAGCTACAACCTCCAATCAACTTTCCAAACAAACTCATATAGGATCAGATCAAAATAATTAAAAACTCAAACAAACCAAGTTATGAGTTTCAAGCTTCAAAGTCCTTCAATGGTGGATTTGAATTTTTGTACAATAAATCTCCAAAAAACAATTTGGGTGAAGAGAAAGAAGAAGGTATTAGTGAGAAACAAGTGTGAATTTCCATTGATGATGAACCCCAGAATACTACAATAAGAGAAGATTAGTAGTTTTTGGTCACATATGTGTGCTTTTTACAGAGATGATACGAGATTTGGATTAGAATTTTGATTGCTGAAATTGGGATTGCCGTTTTGCTTCAAATGAAAAAAAAGCAGAGTGGAGTAAGAGTTGGAGAAGCAGTTGAGCTGGGGGACAAGCTGTACGTGATTCCAATTATTACTCCCTCATATTACT